TCAGCAGAAATAATCATCTACAGAATTAGCACTTCTTCCTTGTAAATAGATTTAATAGAAGCAGAAAATAATAGGTATGAGTGAAATCTTTAAAGAAATAATTGTTTCTTTCATTGCAAGCTTATATTTTCTGAAATATTGCGGGACCCAAATTCTGTCAGGTAGCTAAAAAGTATATCATCTTGGACATATTGTATATCTTTTCGGTAAAGAGGTCTGACTGACTAGCAGGATACAGTAACTACGTGAAAGCAAGGCAAAGGGTGTGAGTTCCCAAAGGAAATGATGATGATGATATTGTTATCCTTTTAATTATTTCACTTCATGGCAGGCTTTATTTTCTGTTCTCTCTGCAGTCAGGAAGATCTTAGTCTATCTGTCTCTCTTTTTACTCTACCCATTCTTTCACTAAGGATGTAAATATTATTTCAGGTATCTTGTAGTGTAGGGTCTCAATTTTGTTTGTTTTTTTAATCCTCACCCGAGGACACTTTTCCATTTTTTGTTCAGACAGAGTGGGAGGGAGAGAGAGGAAGAGAGAGAGAGAAACATCGACGCGAAGGGACGCATCGAGGGGCTACCACCCGCACAACCAACCAGGGCCGCCGGGGACAAACTGCAACCGAGGTACGTGCCCTTAGCGGGAACCGAACCCGGGTCTCTCTGTACCGCAGGTCGACGCTCCAACCGCTGAGCCAAACCGGCCAGGGCAGGTCTCAATATTTTATTAAGGCTTAATCTTCCATTCCCACCTGGAAATTCTTGTTATCTGTTCAGAGTACAGTCCCATATTCTGTTTCTACTGCATGACTGTTGCTTATTGTGTGTATTTAGAAGGAAAAGTATTTTCCTTACTTTCTTGGAAGGATAGCAAGACGCTTAATAGTATCTTTGTTGCAGTTCACTCAACATCCAGATGTTTTGCATCAAGACTTTTTCCAATATCTAGACATCTAGCTCAATGATTGATATACAGAACTTTTTATTACATATGCATATATTCTTTTAAAAATATAGCATTGGTTTGCATATTGTTAAGCTTCAAATGAAAGGCAGCAAATTATACATCTTTACCTAAATATTGTATTTGTGCAATTCTAGTTATTTTCACTTCTGTATAGTAACTATATGTATTTTGTAATGGGTATTTACATAGCTTTTAATTTTTTCTTATTACAAACAATGCTATAAGAGGTGGAAACATTAGAGAATTGGTTATGCTAATCAACTGCAATAGATATTTTCAAATTGCTTTCTAAAATATTTTTATCAATTATAGTCCATCAGCAGTGTACAAGTTTTAGTTGCTCCATATAACTGTCAGAGTTGGTATCATCAGCTTTTTGAATTTTAAACACATTGAGTCATATAAATTGGTATTTCATTTGTTTTTAGTTTGTATTTCTCTGAACCTAAATGAACTTTTCATATTTTTTTTGCCATTTGGATTTTTTTTTTCTGTAAATGAGCTATTCTTTTACTTCATTATCAATTATATAATTAGTTTGTTAATAATTGTTTATCCATTATAAGAACTGCAATACTTCTACTTACTAGTATGTCATAGGGATTTGTTTTTCATTTCTAGTATGACAAAGCACAAGTTTTATTTTTATTTTAGCCTACTATATCGATCCTTTTTTGTTTGCTTTTATTTACTTGTTTAAGACATTTTCTCTTGCCTATAATTATAAATATATACCATTTTCCTATAAAGATTTGGTGTTTTACTTATAATAAAACTTAAATGCACATGAGAATTTTTGTGTCTGGAGTTGTTTTATATTCTCGCAACTTGGTTTTTATATAAATCTTAAAATTACCTTGTCAAGCCCTGGCCGGTTTGGCTCAGCGGTTAGAGCATCGGCCTGCGGTCTGGAGAGACCCGGGTTCGGTTCCCGCTAAGGGCACGTACTTCGGTTGCAGTTTGTCCCCGGTCCTGATTGGTCGTGCGGTGGCAGCCACTCGGTGTCCCTTTCACATCGATGTTTCTCTCTCTCTGTCTCTTCCTCTCTCTCCCTCCCACTCTATGTGTACAAAAAATGGAAAAATGTCCTCGGGTGAGGAAAAAAAAAAAAATTGTCAAGTTTCATGAAAATGTCTATTTGGATTTTTATTAAACTACTTCCAATTCATATATCTGGATGATTTTATGACTCTCTATTTATTTGGGTTTTCTCTAACATACCAGAAGAAAATTTTATTATTTTCTCCATAAATCTTATACTTCTCGTTATAATCCATAGAACCACTATAATTTCTGTAGCATTACATTATAAATGCAACATTTAAAAAATTATATTATTCTGATTTTGGATATTAATCTTATATCCAGCAACTCTACTTAATTCTATCCTTAGTTTCAGTGGTCTGTTCGAATTCTATAAAATTTTCCAATTAGATATATGAGAATAGGAGACTTTTGTTTCTTCCATTCCTGATCTTAAAGGGAATGCTTCCAGGTACTCACCATTAAGCACAGCAATCGTTGCATAGTTTTTGATATATATTTAAGCAATGCATGGGAGTTCTTTAGCCCGTTTCTACATGAATAACTATTTTCTAAATCTATGATTGACATTGTATTTTACAAAATATTTTTCTGTATCTATCAAGATTTTAAGTTTTACCCTAGCAATGATGTGATGATTTTCTGTGTCAAAAATCTTACGTTCCTGGTATTAATTGACTTGTTGATGTTTATTTTTGGTATTTTAAAAGGATCTGGTTTGCTAATATCTTCATTTTTCTAAAAAAACCTATCTTCCTAATAACTTAGGCTGTAATGTTTTTATTTTCTGCTGTACTCTTTGTAAAATTCTAAGGGTCTAGTGTTTTTGTGCATTGCGATAGAGATGAGATGAGCGGCTTTTCAAATTCTAGCTATATTAATTTAATAAAAAAAATAGAAGTTCCTTGAGTCACTTGATGAGTTACATTTTTTTCAATGTTTTCAAACTCGGTGCCTTAAAGTTTTCATTCTACTTTAACCATAGCTTGTCTTTTTAAAAATTAGTTCTTTCATTTACTAGATTAAAATTTCTATTGATTCAACAAAGAGCTGTGGCTAACACCAGCATTCTGCTTTTCCTTCTATTGCTTCTTTTCTCTATTTTTGTTTCTGAGCTACGGGCAAGTCAGTTGCCAAACTTATTTTCTCATGTCTGAAATTAATTTAATATATCCTTTTTAGATCACATGTCCAATGAGGCTCAAGTAATATATGATTGAAAGTGTTTTAAAAACGAAATAAATAGCCCTGGCCGGTTTTGCTCAGGGGTTAGAGCATCGGCCTGCAGTACAGAGAAACCCAGGTTCAGTTCCCGCTTATGGCACATACCTTGGTTGCAGTTTGTCCATGGTCCTGGTTGGGTCATGCGGGAGGCAGCCACTTGATGTATCCCTTTCACACTGATGTTTCTCTCTCCCTCCCTCTCTCCTTCCCACTCTATCTGAACAAAAAACGGAAAAATGTCCTCGGGCGAGGATGAAAAAATAAAACCACGCTTACAGGCTTATCTGCAACATCTTTTTAAACAAGTATATCACTTGTAACATGTGTTCCTCTAAAGCATCATGGGCACTTTTTAGAACATGAATGTGAATCAGAGCTTGGGCCTCGCACAGCAGTGTAAATCTGCCAAAGTCTGAAGTTAAAACTTATGTCTAACTGATCTGAAAAGCAGCAATTCACTAACCATGGCAATTATTTTAAAGACCAGTGTGAAAAGATGTTTAATAAAGTATAAATGTCGGGTTTTAGTACATTAATATTTCCTCTTCATTTCATAAAACACCTTTTTTAAAAATTAAAGAAACACTTTAAAGTACCTCAGATAGGTCCTAATGAAAGGCAATGTTACTAAATCATTACTGCTGCAAAGAAAGCGCTTCCTGAATCCTTAACTACTTGAGCATAATGCATTTTCTGTCTTCACCTTTGTCAACATTTAACCATTTATTAGGTTCCTGATCTCATGCTGCATGCTGTTGTTAAAATATAGTACTAAGGAATTAAATGTAAGAAATTAAAAGATATATAATTTTTTTAAACATAACGATCGTTAGAAAACATGAAAAGGAATAATCTTAAAAGTCCTACCGTCAAGTGAATTTAGTACGGCACTGAGGTCTTGTAAATATCTCATTTCAGAAAACTAACTAGGTTAGTACTAAATATATTAATTCTAAACATACAAAATAGGATCCATAAGTATTTGCTGTGGCTGCATCTGAATGTTGTGACTCAATACGATGTTACATGTCCATAAGGCTCCCTGAGGTACCTTGAGACAAATGTCCCTCTCAATTTCTATAATAATTTTTATTCATCTAAACATTATTTCCAATTTTGGACTGTTTCTTTAGTGAACTACAACATTTAGCAAACAAGTGATTTTTTCAGTACTAAAGAGTAATATGCACAATTTTTGGGGAAGTACTCCAACTCTGGATAAGGAAATGGAAGAAACGAACAATTTCAGAATTATTCTAAACACAAAGTGAAAAACATAAAAGTTAGGGTAAAATAAAAATGTAAGTATTAGGATAAAACTATCTTTTACAAAACCAACTCATTTTTTCCTACTAATCACTTGCCTCTTTAGAGAAGAATAATGGTTTGAAGTGGTGGTGAAATGTACATATTAAGGTACCTTGAGTTCCATTGAAATTGAACCATCATCTTTCACAACGGACTTTTTTTAGTGATAGGCCTGGATTATATTTATCAACTTCTTACCTCATATGAAAAAGAACAGATTCTATACAGTTTGTTTCTTTCACTGGATGTTGCAGAAAGCTAAATGTGCCGAACTAGATAAACAATGTTAGGCAGAGTTTCTCTATCTATTCTGATAAAACTCCCAATCAGGAAAATGTGACTAAGGTTCAACAGCAATTCAACATTTATTTTACTATCAATACCTGAAAACATGTAGTTTTAAAGAATTAAAGTACAGAGACCAAATAAAGTCATTTTTTAAAATTTTATTATTACTGTTTACCAATGGGGAGATGCAATTTATTTACACCAGCAGCCATAGGGGCAAGGGGAATACACAGCAATCTGTATAGGATAGACTACTTATGCAAAAATAAGAATCTCCAAAACAAAGGACAGGGGTGAGTTTCACTACACTTCCCCAATGATCCCAGCATGCTATAATGCCAGGCAATGGCCCCTGGGCATGCGGTGATAGGAACTAATGTATGGAAGAATAAGCCACAAACCACAGAAAATTTGTAAAGAACCCCTTTCCCCCCATACACACACACACACACAGATACATAATAGAATTACAGGGTGATCAATACATTTCATTGAGGAGGAAAGGATAGGAACTTTGCTGTTAGAGGGAAGATAGGTAGGGAAAGGGAGAGTTCCTAACCACTGTCAACTATATGGTAAAGAGCATTATCTCCACCAAAACAAAAGGAGTTAGTTGGTTCCAGCCCACCTCATACCCATCCAGGGCAGGGGGTTAAAAACAAAAACCAAGAGAGAGAAAGAAAGATGATATGAAGTGCCCTCTTCCTCCTTCTCTAACCAGGAGAAAAGACCAGAAAGAAAATGGTGATGTCACATTCTGCGCTCCCTCTTTGAAGGAAGAGTGGACCATGGCCTTACCCTCAGCCTGTTTCCCAGACATTTTCTGGAAGTAGGCCAGAATCTCACTTAGACCCTCTTTTACCTTTATATTCTGTTAGAAATGTCTGTAAAAAGTCAAGGGCAGATTACCCAAAATGATTTTAGCTCTTGCCAAGGTTTGATTTTTTTTTAAAAGTAATCATAATTCCTGGATTGAAACCAATCTGTAACTAGGCCCCTGCCCTGAGCAGGACAACTCTAGGGAGAGAATGCAGTAATCGACAGTCTTGAGGCCCTATTACTATGGTTTGCTGAATATTCTAGAGCATGTAACCCAAATCAGTCCACACAGTCCAAATAATTCCTTCTGGAATAAGGAGGATACATGCACAGCCAGGGTTAGAGAAAATGGATCAGGACCCACTCCATCCATGTGTTTGTCTCTAGCCTTTACTGTTCTTCTGCTGAGGTCCTAAGAAACAATATTCAAGTGGAAGTGAGAAAATATAACTCCTCATGAAGTAAGACACAGCAGGAAGGCATATTAGCAAGGCAGTCATATAGAAGACTTAGAATCACATTGCCTTTTGTATACAATTAGCGTTTTCTTCCTATCCTAATCCCAACAGAGGGAGCCATAAAATCTTTTGTTTTCCACAAAAACAGGGGGGAAAAAACTTAGAAAAAGCCAAGGAAAAGGAAACTGGACAGGCTTCAAAAGCAGGAGCATCAAGGGATGAACTGAAACTGGTCACTGTGAAAGCAGGGTGGCAGGCAGCACCTGGAGTCATGAGCTGCACCAGATAGGCAGTGGAACAGGGAAAAGGAGGAACATGGGGCCAAGCCAGACTGATGAGGCTGGGCCCCTTACTGGGGCACAGAATGAGGTAAGAAAACATTTCAAATAAAGCAGCACCGTTCCTTGTGGCTCCCACCCCTCTACACTTCAACACTCAATCAGGGAATAAAGTGGAGGGTAGTTTTGATATGTAGCTCACACTTTCCATCCTCCCCTATCCCATTCCCTGAAGCCAGGGGATTTCTGGGAGCCCTTCTGTGACTTTCAACAACAAACAACAGCTCCTGTAATCAGGGTCCAAAGAGAACCAAGTGAAAAGGGCTGCCCTTTGTGAGGGGCAGAGAAGGTGGTGAAAGTCTATGTACCACAGCACAGCTCTGTAACTGAACAACCCAAAGAACAGGAGCATTCAATAGGATACTGCACAGGCTGATGGGAGAAAACCCAGTGCTGCTCTCTGGCTCCTAACACTAACCCATTCACATTATTGAGGGCTGCTGGAAGAGGTCCGCTCTGGGCTCAGCATCAAACCACAGCCTCCTGCACAGCCATGATGCTCCTCTCTATAGCTCAGACCTGCCACTAGGGTAGAAGGCAGGTAGTGACCTAGCATAATGACCAAGTCAGACGCATGGACTGGCTATGTAACTACAACTCAGAGTAGGAAAATGACAGCCCCACCAAACTGTTGTCCAAAGAATAATATATCCAGGTATGAATCTTGCAGTTTGAGAGATCGTGCATAGTTGCAGAGGCCCCTGCTGCCTCCCCAAGGGACCATAACCAAATCCTCAACTGCCTGGATAACCAAGTTGTCCATTTGCTAAGCCTATGCCACCAGATTGAGTGCCAGAAAGAGGACTCTGTTTAGCAAAAGGCTAGCCCTTGTCCCCAAGTCCGCTGAAGTCACTGTAAATGCTGGACTTCTGGAAAACTGGTGGCTTTGACCTTTTCTTCTTGTTGGAGCCAAGACCACAGAGCTTCCCCTACCAGATTCAGGTGGAAATTCTTTTTCTTGGTTTTCCCAAACTGGAACTGTTAATATCCAGATCTCATACCTGACTTTCATTTTGTCTTGGAGAAGCCCAAATCAGATGCTCAGAGATCACAGGAGCAGTCCCACTGAGGCCCAAAGATAAAGGCCTAACCATCAGTTATGTCCAAAGTGTCAGTTATCCAGGAAGCCCTTGACATCAGGCAGACTGAAAGGATGAGAAACCAAAGGATCTTATAAGCTGGGCACACAGCTGCTCACCTGTGCACCAGGGGCAGGCAGCACAGGGATCTTGTGTACTTCCTGGTGTGTTTAGAGATCAAACTGCATTGCCTGGCGCACAAGATGCACAGCTCCTCCTGCCCAGGGTTTCAAAGCTGATCCCAGGTTAATATATTTAGAAAAGAATCCACATTTTTAAATTCTCCACTTTGGGTTTTTAAAGACTAGAATCTTCAGTGGGAATTGGGACTTTTGTCTGATTTTATCTTATTTTTTTTCTACTTAGCTACCTAACTTCTCCAGACCACAGGACCGGTCTATGTTATCGTCCTGGTCACACTCAGGCTCTCTCTCATGTTGCAGCTACTGGAATTCCGGAGGTGAGCGTTGCAGCTGCTGATCAGGCCCGTTCCCAGACTCTCCAGGAAGGGAGCAAAGCGGCAGGCGGCACGCTCCTTTATCTTCCACCGGCTGAATGCCGAAATCCTTCACACTACCAGTGTCCGCGAACTCCAGGTAGAAGTAGCCACACTTGACTGCCCGGTGCACCTCAAAGCAGAAGCCCAAACAAGAATCCTCTATCAGGTCTACGTATATTTCCTGAGCGATGGCCTCTAGCTTGTTAGTATCCAGGTTGGCCAACGAAATTTCCTCCATTTTAATCTGTAAACGACCGTGGAGAGGGCGCTCGGATTACTCACAGCAGCGCGGGCAGCAGCAGCACGTCGGGCTCCGCGGGCCGCGCCTAGGCCTACAGGCCTCCCCGGGCGGATCTGCGGGCGGCGGGCGGCGGGGGTCCGCGGCGGCGGACAGGGCACCGGCAGTCGGCGGCGACTGCTCCGGAACGCCTGGTAATTCGTTTCTTTGGACGTTTCCCGCGATCTGGGGTTTTGGGCTCCGACCGACCCCAGACTCACCGCCAAACAGTCTCCGCGCTTCACCCAGCAGCTCGGGCCTCTTCCGCTCCCTGCTCCGTGTTTAGCCCCGCCTCCCCACTTCCGCTCCCAATGCGCCTGCGCCCTGGCTCCGTGCCGACTCGTGGGGCTTACTGCGCAGCTGCCTTGGAAGCTGTGGAGTTTCCGAAGACAGTGGGACAAACGGAAATGTATACATTATCGCTAATCATGAAGAGATTGCAGGGATGCTGTTTTATGTTATTTATTTGTGGACTTAAACAGTCGCTAATGAATTCAGCACACATGTTTAATTGATTTTCTTATGAAAAAGGAAAAAAAATTGTGTGCATATTTGTGGTGTGATCCGAAATACAGTTTTACCAACAGTTCTCTAATACGTTTGAAATTTTAACTTATATAATTAACTCTTAATCATTTATGGTACTGCGCAGTTGTCATTTAAGTCCACTAGATGGTGCATGAAAACAAAGTACAGTATAGTTTATCTTTCATTCTTTTATTTTATTTTTTTAATGAAAACAAGGCACTGAAGACATATATTGATCACATGAATCTAAGGCACTTAGTTATAAGACCATTAAGTCGGTGCGACTATAAATAGGTCATCATATACATGTCTAAAGTAATTCAAAGAAAAAATTGTATGTATATTCTCTATTAAAGAGAGAGGAAACCTGAACTACATTAACTATTCTGTGAGATAAAAGAAGAGCTTCCTAAAATTGTGCATCACGAATTGTAAGAACTAGAGCCACTCTACCAGGGTTTAAATTCAAGTGCCAACATTTAACAGTTATTTTTTCTTCATCTGACTAAAGCTAATCTCTATTTCATGGTTAAGATTAGATAACATTTAAAAGAAAGTCCTCTATGACAGTCCTTAAATGTAAGGAAGCATTCAATAAATGGCAGCTATTTCAATCATATTAGTTTGGACTTGAATATATTATAAGAAAATCACAGTATTATTTTATTTTGAGCTAGGTGTTTTTTTTGTTTGTTTGTTTTTTGGTTTTGGTCTCTTATCACCACCACTATGAAATAGAACATCCTCTTGTATCTTTAATTTATCAAAAAAACAGCTCTAACCAAAGAAAGAAAAAAATTTAGAAGTATGTATTTGTATCTCTCTGATTCTATCATTTCCTTTCAGAATAAAGGAAAGGATAGACATGGATCTTTCCAGATCAATACAAATAAAATTTTTCTAACATGTATGTTCATCAGAACACTCTTAAATAATTTTAGAATTTACTCTTTTAAAAAAAATGTTTACAGTTTTATATTAGTTGTAGGTGTATACACCCCAGTGATTAGACATTATATAACATACTAAGTGATCATCCCAGTAAATCCCGATAGTCATGGGGATGTCAAATACAGCATAGGGAATATTCTAATAACTGTGGATGGGTCAGATAGGCACAAGATTTATCAGGATGAACACTTAGTAAGTTAGAATTCATTCTTAATATCTCTATATTTTTGTGAGTAGAAAGTTGAGTACAAATTAAATTGATTTGATTTATGAGGAATTAGCTAGTACTTACATCCATCCAAATTTTCTGATGTGTGTATTTTAATGTCTTAAAAAACACAAATTGGCAGATATGGAGGATTTTGAAAGCCTAGGCTAGTAGAGACTCATGCATAATAAGCAGTTTTTTTTATCTAAGGCAGAATTTTTTTATTGCAGCCTTTGTATAATCTATATGTTCTCCCTTATATCTGCATATAGTCATATAAACCATAAATATATGATTAAGTACACAAGTTCTTTTTTGTTGTTAATTCTCACATGAGGATATTTTTTCCATTTATTGATTTTTAAAGAGAGTGAAAGGGGGGGGAATGAGAGGGAGAGAAAAATATCAAACAAGCCAGGATGGAACCTGCAACTCAAGTATGTGCCCTTGACTGGGAATCAAACCTTAGACTCTTTGTTGTGCAGGCCAGTGCTCTAACCACTGAGCACACGGGTCAGGGAAAGTACACAAGTTCTTGATTTAAACTGCCTCCTATCAGTTATTATCTTTTTGACCATGCCCTATCTACTTAACTTCTATAAATCTCAGTTTTCTCATTTTAAACTGTCAATAACAGTTTTCATCACATAGGTTTTGTTGTTGTTGTTGTTGTTGTTGTTTTGAGATTTCATCATGACAATGAATATAAAAGTCTTCACAAAGTGTCTGACAAATAGTATGGTAAATCTATAATTGTGATATGTCTAGTTAACTAAAAAATTACAGATGCATATACTTACCTGGCAGGGGAGATACCATGATCACAAAGGTGGTTTTCCCAGGGCGAGGCTTATCCATTGCACTCTGGATGTACTGACCCCTGCAATTTCCCCTAGTTATTGTGGGAAACTAGACTGCCTAATTTGTGCTAGTGGGAGACTGCATTTGTGCTCTCTCCTGGGTGTGTGTGTGTGTGTGGGGGGGGTTATACAGATGTAAATACAATAGTTTCCACTCACTCTTAACCTTAGTGTGTATGAGAATCACGCAGAGATCTTATAAAATGTAAACTGAGATTCAATAGGTGGAGTAATAGGGCTTGGGTTTCTGCATTTCTAACATACTTGGATGCTGCTGGTTTATGGATCACACTTTCAGTAGCAAAGAATTAAAAAGGATAGTAGTAGGCAACTGTTCTTCATAATGATTGACTCCCATATGTTTATTTTGGCCAAATTATCATGGGAATCTTTGCATAATTGATTTTGACAGAAGAGGAGATTGTTTTTCTGCCCCTTAAATCTTCCTTGTATTCTGAGAGTTGAAACCCAAATCCTCAATTTATTTAATAAAGATAAGTCTTCAGTAAAATTGACTAAAAATGTATCTGAGTAGACCATCATATTAATCAAAATTTGGATAATCAGGACCATGACTAGGTTTAGATTTTTCAACAGTGCTTTATTATATTCACTCTTAGAAAGGGAACACTATCATGACATCAAGAAGGTTCACTGATGCCCATTGTCACTGCTCCTCTGCTTGTATCATTCAACAAGATTGCTTTACTTCTTACTGAAATGTACGGAAACTCTTCATGAAAAATCAATGACATGTCACAAAAAGAAGTTAGAAGGAACTCCTTAGTTTTTTTGTTTTTTTTTTGCAATTAATAGATCAAAGGTTTTTAACCCTTTGGTTAAAATAAAATTTTAAAAAGTAGAAACTCTCCATTATCTCATTCATTTTCTCAATACAAGGAGAGTAACAGGGATTAGTTTTTCATAAATAGGTGATCTTCAAAGAATATGTACATCGTATAGGTGTAAAATACTTAGTGCACAAATCAAGGTAAGTAAAATGAGTTATTGTGAAATTTTAATTGTCTTAATTATTCTCATTTCATTCAATAATTGTAATACATGCACTGGCAGCATTTTCTCTTTTAAAGATCAACATATTTTAAATCGCTATTTAAAATTTTTTATTAAAGACTGAAATTTCATAAAACAAGTATATTTAGCCCTGGTTGGTTTGGCTCAGTGGTTAGAGCATCGGCCGCGGACCAGAGAGACCCAGATTCGGTTCCCAGGTTGCAGTTTGTCCCCAGCCCTGGTTAGTGTTGTGTGCGTGGCAACCACTCGATGTGTCTCTATCAGGTTGATGTTTCTCTCTTTCTTCCCCCTTCTCTCCCTTCCTCTGAAGATAAATGCAAAAATATCCTCAGGTGAGGATAAAAATAAATAAATAAAATGAAATAAAATATTTAAAAAAACAAGTATATTTAAGAGTCACACATTTTCTTTGTGTGTTTATTTATTTATTTATTTTTTATCCTCACCCGAGGACATTTTTCCATTGACGTGAAAGGGACACATCGAGTGGCTGCCACCCGCACAACCAACCAGGGCCGGGGAAAAACTGCAACCGAGGTACATGCCCTTAGCGGGAACCGAACCCGGGTCTCTCAGGACCGCAGGCCGACGCTCTAACCGCTGAGCCAAACCGGCCAGGGATCTTTGTGTGTTTACATAAAATAGAAAAGTGAGGTGGCAGACGACATCAGGGATAGACCTGGGAGCCAGAAGATCTGAGTTGCTATCCTGTTTCTACCCTTAACTTATACAGTGATCTCGGGCAAGAAGGTGAATTCATGTTTGTAAAAAACAGACAGCTGGAGTCACATTTTCTTAATGTCTCTTAAAACTTTGAACTGAGTAATCTAAGGAGTTAGGTTTCAAGTTAAGGGTCAAGTAAATTCTTATGTGTTGGCCCACAAAGTTCAAACTGGGCATCTATGGGTTTTCTTACCACCAACTGATAGGCTCAACTGCCTAGGGAATCTTGAAGCACCTCCGCAACTTAGGGTTAAGAGCATTATTCAGCCACTGAAAAGCAGCTGTGTGTTGTAATGATCTTGCCTAACATCTGAAGATGTCTCTTGCAGTGAGGCAGGATAGTAGGAAGCTAAGAAAATTCCTTGGCAAGTGGAATGGGGATACTGAGACAGATAGCTGAACAAACTGGTCAAGCAATTTATAGCCAGATAATAAATTGGGCCCTGGCCAGTTTGGCTCAGCGGTTAGAGCGTTGGCCTGCGGTACAGAGAGACCCGGGTTCGGTTCCCGCTAAGGGCACGTACTTTGGTTGCAGTTTGTCCCCGGCCCTGGTTGGTCGTGCGGGTGGCAGCCACTCAATGTGTCCCTTCACGTCGATGTTTCTCTCTCTCTATCCCTTCCTCTCTCTCCCTCCCACTCTATCTGTACAAAAAATGGAAAAATATCCACGGGTGAGGATAAAAAAAGTAAATTAATTAAAAATAAATAAATAAATTGGAAGGTCTGATCTTCCCTAACCAAGGACACTCAGGAGTAAATGATTTACACATTGTAGACAGTGCTGGGGCAGACCCGCCTCTGTACTGGTCCCTCCTCAGTGACATTCTTAGAAGGTGAAAATGACCAAAGAATGTCCCTGACCCTCCCCCCCACGCACACACATTTTGATGAATCAGTATACTGAAGGACACACCTGGAAAGTCGATGAACAGTCTTACTGAGATTCTCCCCCTGAGACTTCCCCTAAAATTCCTACTTTTAGAAAATAGATAAAAATCTTCAGATGAAGGAGCCAGCACACGCCCCTTGGAGCACACCCACACCACTCCATTTCTTGGGCACGTGCTTTTGCTCTCTTGCTTCTAAACTCTAAAGATCCTCAGGAGACTAGCAATGAGGGGAGCAGTGAGAAGTGGCAGCTTCTCCTGGGCTTACCCCCTGAACCTGTCTCCAAGGCTTCCTTTTCTCTGACTTTTTAGTGAGCTAGGAGATCACTTCTGTCACTAAATTTTACTTCTTAGTGAGTCCACACAGCCCTGCGTGGCTCAGTTCTTTCCTGTAATGTTTCTAGAGAGCCAAAGCAGATCTGCCTAGGGTTTCTCCTGTTGCTTTTTCGATCCTAAACCCTTCCTTTGTTTCACTGTCCCTGGTTTTAATAAACATACTTTCCAAAATCACCTGGACTCATTTTGTGAAATCTTTCCCGAATTAAGTCAAGAACACACAGTACAGGCCTGCCTGAGGCTGACCTGCTTCAAGCCCGGTCCTTTCTGGTGATAGTAGAGGGTCATTTATACTTGAAATTTAAATTTATATAGCAATTTTGACTAATATGAAATTGACTTTGACTTATAAAATATTCATTAAACCTTTACTTATTTTTGTTTACTTACTCTGGTATTATAAGTGAATAGTAAATCAGAGAGGAAGGGGACATTTTTGCCATATTAATTTATCTTATAAACAGTGCTTTCATTGGACCCTGATCTATGTCAGAAATAAGCTATGGAGTTATGCCTTTTTGTCAATGATTTGTTAAAAGAAATATTTATGTGTCCTAACAACAATAAACACTCACATGTCCTCCCAGACACGGCCAGCTTACAGTTTCAAATTCATCCTCTACTGAAATCCACTTTTCAAGATTTGCATTTAAAAACTGATTATCATACCTTGCATGAGATTTTGAGATGCCACAGTTTGATATTAGATAAGGGTGTCATGCTAAAATTGCTATGTCTAGAATAAATTTACGATTTTAATCTGCCCTGCTAACCTGTGAAATCAAGGTGACTTAGTGAATTTTGGTATTTATGGCAACTCTGGCTTATGATCTACTAAAGAGAAAGACACTGTAATCCTGAACTAACTATAGTAAGTATGGTAGTATATCCATCTAAAATAATAATTTTAGTATTTTGCATAATATGGTGTTTTTTAAAAAGTTGATCTTTTGATATATCAATTGCTCAGAACCACTTTGATCTATGAAAAAGATTCAGAGTCTCTCTGGAAATATTTTCACATATTTGTGTATATAGACATGTTCATAAAAATATTTTTAAAGTGTTTATGACACTGCCTTTGAAGGTTGTAGGATATTTTTTGAATAAAAAGAGAATAATTATTGTTGGCCTCTCCTTATGGGAGACACTCTACATTAGCTGTTCTCATCCTGTGGGACGCGACCTCTTTGGGGGTCGAACGGCCCTTTCACAGGGGTCGTCTAAGACATAACAGTAGCAAAATTACAGTTATGAAGTAGCAATGAAAATAATTTTATGGTTGGGGATCAGCATATCATGAGGAATTGTATTAAAGGGTCACTGCATTAGGAAGGTTGAGAACCGCTACTCTACATGGTAGTGCAGAAAAGAATACCTTCTATGTAGATATAGGCATGGGCCCAGAAAAGTGTGAAGTAGACACTGAAAATAATTTATGATTAGGCAATATGGATGTGGCAACAATTAACAGAGACTTTTAACACACTTATTTTAAAGGAATTTCAAACTTATAGAAGAATTGCAAGAATATTACAAATAACTTCTATATACATATACTTCACCCAAAGTTACTCATTAACTTTTTGCCACTTTTATTTTATATCTTCCTTCCATGATTTCCTTATCACAAACTAATCAGAACTATTGCTTCTCCTAACCTATTTGACAGTAAATTGCAAACATCATGACTTTTATTACCTCTAAATATTTCAGTTTAATTGTGCTAAAAAAACAACAACAAGGTATTCTCATATCACAAAGATACAATGATTGAATTTAGAATTTTGACTAGTTTAAGAATTATCTAATACTATTGTCTAATATACAATCCAAATTCAAATATTGCCAATAGTCCTATCAATTTTCTTTATAACATTTATTTCCAGGATCCAATCAGGATCACATATTACATTTATTTGTCTCTATTTAGTCTCCTATAATATGGAACAGGACTATAGCAGATAATTTTGAAATAAAACAAGGATGTACACAAGTTCAAAGACATTCAATTTCAGTTTAATATGGGCAGAATAAGAATATTTTGAAAGACATGCAATTTTCCCAATTAAAGCCTTAATTGTAGTAAAAATTTATCTTAGCAGATCAGGACACTGAA